ATATTTTTCCTATTTTTTCCCAAGTTTTATAGTGTTTAATTTTGAGCTCACTGTTCATTTTGAGCTCACTGTTCATTTGTCAAGAATAGGTAGGTATCAGGAACAGAAACACAAAGATAGCTCGCTGTCCACTAATCATATTCTAGAACTGGTTCTACTATGTACTTGTTAGATGAGATGACTTTTGGCAAGGCATCTAACCTCTCTTTGTTTTGATTTCCACATCTACAACGTGGTCTAAATGCTGTTCTTCAGAGGTCATGGGATAACTGGGAAGGTGAAATAATTATGTTGCATAAATACAAAGCAATATTATTTCCACAGTTTATCTTCCCACACTGTTTTCTATCTCATTTATTCATTCATACATACACCCTTTTAACAAATAATTGCTGACAGTCTACTTGACGTAAGGGATGGATATTTGAGTATCAAAAAATTTTCCCCCGGCTCTTGCATCTAAGGTAATAACTAAGAATGAGTTAGCAGCAATTGCTTTATCTCTTAGGGTACAGAATCAGACAAGGTAGTGCTAGATATAAGACAGGAAAGGTGGGGTAATGAAGGGTGTTGTTTATGGAACCATAATGGTTGCTTCCATTGGAGTGTGAACTGTCCTGTTTACTAAAATTGCTGCAAACAAGTGTGTAAGTCCGCAGATGCCACCATTGTTTTTTCTAGCTTAGGGTAATGTTGGATTTTAATACTTATAGGCAAAGCAACTCAACCCAAGAAAGATGGGTTTATGTTACAAGAAAATAGTGAACAGGGGCACCTGGTTGGCTCAGTCAGTTAAGTGTCTGCCTTTGCGCCAAGTCATGATCTCAGGGCTCTGGGATTAAGCCCCATGTCGGGCTCTCTGCTCAGCAGGGAGACTGCTTCTCCCTCTGACTGTTTCCTCCTATTAAACGGAAGTAGCAAAGCACAGAAAGAATGCTGGCAATTTAAAATTGTATCTGGTTTCTAAAATATAGCTCAATGGATTTCAAACCAACATTTAATGGGAAGGAAGAATTCACATCAAAGTCCTACGATGTGTCAAGATACCAGAAGAGAACCTCTGTCACTATAAAATAACTCCCTTAGCAAGGCATAATAGCGTAAAAAAGCAAGTCAACTTCCATCATTGTTCACGGTTCAGTGAAGTTCTACTCATCAACTGAAACACAATGTTAAACAATTCAGCTTGGCTTTTGCATGCTGGGTAACCATGTGGTGCTTAGCTACCAGAGATGCTGATTCTTTTGAACAGATACCATTCTTTTGAACAAAGGTATCTTATCCATGGAGTCTGGTGATCTATGCAAACTCCACATTCAAGCACAGTTGAGGGACTGCTGTTGAAGCATGGATCACTCCAGCCCTGGCCATACACACGGACCCTTCTTCTGTTGGCTGTTTCTAAACTGCAATAAAAAACAAAGAAGCACTAAATGGATAACCAGGAAAGGAAAGAGGAAATATCAGGGTAGTAAGATACTAGAGTTAACATGGTCTTGGAATAGGCACAAAGTTAGTTGCTTAATGTAGTTGTAAGATAACAAATATCTATGACAAACTAGCCATTGTCCGTTTACTTGATGAGAGCAAAAGCGGTAGCAAGAAACATTTTAATTATGTTCAGTAAAATTTACAAATTGATTTGCGGCCAGGAACTATATACAGTCTTTATGTAAATTGCCTCATTTAATCCTATCAACAACCACATAACATAGATATTATGCCCAATTTAGAGAAGAAAACAAATTGAAGCAACAGTTTAACTTGCTCAAGATCTCATAGATACTAAGCGAAAGCTGGAATTTGAGAATCAGAGTCTAGTTTCAGAAACCATGTTTTTAATCAATAGTTTCTGTGCTTACATAGATAGCCTGCCCTATCCCCTAAAGCATTTAGCCTTTTCCCTTCTTTTTTGTTTCTTCACCAGAAAGCCTCTTCTTTAGTAACCTTTAAAAAAAATGTCACAGATGTCTGTAATTTAAAATGTTGTATTTGACACCATGCACTTTTTAGAGTGGAACAACTATTTCAGAAATCCTATGAATAAATAATCTGCAAAAACACCATATTCTGTAATACAGTAGATTGATTAGAAAAGTTTTACTTAAGACAAATTAGAATAATATAGAAGAATAGAATTCAACTCTTTTCTTTTCCACTAGGAAGGACACAACAGATAATGTTCACTTCTGGATAAATTTGTACAACCACTGGCAATTCAAGTCTTTCATTCTCTGTTGGATATCCAGGGCTGACCAACCAACTTTTTACTTGCTTCCCATTCCTCTTAGTTGCAAATTCTTTCCCTTTTTTCTCAGTTCTAAATCCAATCCATTTCTACGTTCCAAAGACCTAAGTCCTATTCTCCCATCTCTTCAGACTATCTTGCCTCCTACATCATTGAGGAACCTGAGGCCATCAAGCTTGAAATCCATCTCAGAAAAACAAGGCCTCCTCTTGTTCTGGTCCAAATCAAATTCTCTGTGCTCTTAGTTCTAAGCTCTCATCTCTTCAAGGAATCTGAACCACTAATTTTCCATTCTACCTCTTATTTTGTGGTAGATTTGTCAAATACACTGCTATCATGCTCGCAGCCTCCCATGAGGGAAAGCGATCCACCCAAGGTCTTTATCAAGGGGCAACCATGTTTTATACCATGCAAACTCCTGGGTACTAGCTGCCTGGACAAGGTGGACAACTATCTCAAAGGGCAGCCAATTTACAGACTGGCCAGAGAATTAAGACTTGGCCTGGCAATGAAAAGATGAGCAGGGCCTGTTGCCTACTTAAAACTTCTCAAAGGTACTCACTACTTTAAGAGTGAGAAACCCATTTTAAGGAAGATGAGTAGATTTTTATTATTAGAAAAGTTATGAAATGATCTTTGATGCATATCTTGCTTGTGAAAGTTAATGTTCAGGGGAAGTTTATAAAGAGTTATACAGTATTTATATTCAGTGGAATATAAATATTGGAATTGTAGTATATATTGGAAATAAATAGTGGAATATGTAAATATTTTAATGTTCAGTGGAAGTTTATACAGTGTTATACAGTATTTATACAGTAGTTGCTAGAGAGCTATATATCTTAGCACAGAAATAACCTATATAATTACTGGAAATTACTGACAAAAATACCTTTCAAAGCAGCCTATTATACGAATTTTAAATGTCATCTGATTCTTACAATAATTCCACAATGTAGGTTCTAATATTCATCATTTTCAAATAAGGAAACTAAGGCTCAGAGAACTTGAGTTACTTCCGAAGGTCACTCAGTTAATGACTGGCAGAGTTTGGCGTCTGGATCCAAGGCTTATACTTTGATACTACCTCTGGCTTTTTCCTGGTGAAAAACATGAAGGCATTGCCTAGCTTTATCATCTGTCATCTTGGCCATAACAACAAAATGGCTGGAGCTGGCTTAATAAACATCTAAAAAGCGTAACATTAACAGATGAGGAATGAGAAGAAGGAAAAAAAATCAAGGTGAGGGCAAATTTAGTGTACAGCAATGTGTGCCATTGATTTTGTAAGTAGGTAGACAGGGTGAACATCTGTCAATGATGGGAAAACGGCTTCCTGCTACAGACCGTCTTAAAATCTGCCGTGGCAGGGCGCCTGGGTGGCTCAGTGGGTTAAAGCCTCTGCCTTGGGCTCAGGTCCTGTCCTGGGATCGAGCCCCAGCATTGGGCTCTCTGCTCGGTGGGGAGCCTGCTTCCTCCTCTCTCTCTGCCTGCCTCTCTGCCTACTTGTGATCTCTGTCTGTCAAATAAATAAATAAAATCTTAAAAAAAAAAAAATCTGCCGTGGCCAAGTTGGAATCTATTCCTGATTTTACACCATTTTGTTCATTGTTTAACATTTAGAAGTACACCTCTCTGAACCAGAGACACCTCAACAGGGAGAAAAGTAGCTAAGACAAAGATTGGCTTACCAAGAGCAATTTAGTGGTGTCTTTGAAGGAAAAAACCCATTACAAAGACATGATCCACATTGCCTTGAATTTGGATCACCACATGACTTCTTTAATCTTGACTCTTTTCCCAACTAGCATACAAAATTGTGCTCAAGCGGAGAAACCAAGGCATGGTTCAGATTTGTGATATTTTTTTCCTTGGATCAAAGATTCTGAGCATCCATCTATGAAAACACGTAGCTGTTGATCTGAGTATGTAATTACACGGGAGCAGTTTCAGCTTGGAGGGATGGTAAACAGAGAGGTTTGCTCCATAGAGCAGATTGGCTCACACTTAATAATGCACCAATCACGGGCTAGGAGTCAACATGCCAAGGGATCAGGGCTGTGCTGTCCCTACTCTGAAAGCCCCTGATGCCAACACGCACAGTCCTTCTGTGGTGCCGTGTCGCTGAGCGCTGCTCCACTGGCCCAGGTCCAGACACTACCAAAGGCTCGGGAGCCGGATTTCCTGGAGAACAGAGCCTTTCTCCGGTTCTGGTCGGCCCGGCTGGACACTCTGTTCAAACTCCAACCAGAGAATAGGTTTGGACCTCGGGAGGCAGGCTGGGGCAGAGACCGGGGATCTGCTCTGTGAACAACAGCCGCAGGCGCCCCGCAGGGTGGTTCAGAGAGCACGTTTTCCGCACCGCAGGTGGACAGGGCGTTACCGGGTGTCCTGTGCGGCCCGCCTCAGAGACGCGGGCTCACTCCCGCCCCAGGGCATTTCAAAGATCGGGGCAGTGGCTGAGTCAGTCCCGGAGGCGCCCGCCACAAGGAAGCTCGCCCACGCGAGAGGCCCAGCCGACGCCAGCTCCTCCCCGGCTTTTTGCGCCGGTGCCACCGGAGCCGCAGGCGGGGGTCCCCGCGCGCCCTAGCGTTCCCGGTACGAATACCCGCAGCGCGCCGCGCTGCGCCGCGCAGCGAATCCTGAGGGCCCAGATCCAGGCGGAAGCACAGTCCGGGCCCTCCCTCTGCCCGCCGGAACCGGAAATCGCTGCTCCGGCGCGTACGTCGCCTTCCGCGGGCCGCGCCGCACCATGCTCCGCGGACCCCAGCGCTTCATCAAGGTCTCGGTGGCGCCGGTCGCTGCCCTGGCTGTGGCGCTGCTCTCGTCGGTCTCGCGCTGCTCCCTCCTGGAGCGGGAGGACCCCGCGGTTTCGGCGCTCAGCCACTACTTCGGTACCAAGACCCGCTACGAGGATGCCAACCCCGGGCTGCTGCCGGATCCCGAGGCGCCGCGGAGGGACCCCGAGCTGTTGGAGGACACCTGCACCCCCGTGCAGCTGGTGGCCCTCATCCGGCACGGCACCCGCTACCCTACGGCCAAGCAGATCCGCAAGCTGCGGCAGCTGCATGGGCTGCTGCAGGCCCGCGGGCCGAGCGACGGGCGCGCTGGCTCCGCGGGCGGCGGAGACCTGGGCGCCGCGCTGGCCGACTGGCCGCTGTGGTACGCGGACTGGATGGACGGGCAGCTGGTGGAGAAGGGGCGGCAGGACATGCGACAGCTGGCGCTGCGCCTAGCCTCCCTCTTCCCGGCTCTCTTTAGCCTCGAGAACTACGGCCGCCTGCAGCTGGTCACCAGCTCCAAACACCGCTGCGTCGACAGCGGCGCCGCCTTCCTGCAGGGGCTGTGGCAGCACTACCACCCCGGCCTGCCGCCACCCGACGTCGCAGGTGACAGCCTGGAGCCGCCGGGGGCAGGGTCCCCTGGCTCGGTGTCCCCCTCGCTCCCTCCGTCCCCAGGCCCCCGGGTGCCCATCTCGTGTCGCGTGTTCAGGGCTGGGTTGTCTGTCTCCCTTGTCCCCACGCATATTCATCTGTCCGTTCATCAGGGATGCAGTGCACACCTTTCTGGGGCTGGACGTGCTAGCGGGCGTCGGCTGACGGGACACGAGAGGAGACCGCCAGGCGCGGTTCTCCGTGTCGCGCGTTCCCAGACAGATTGCCCCCTCTCCGAGCACCAGCCCTGCCTTTCCTCCCTTCCTGGCAGCTAGTGCCAGCACTTTCCTTCTTCGAGCTTTGCTTCTTGAAAACTGTTTGGGTTTTTTAACTTACCGATTCTTTTTTTTTTTTTCTTTTTTTAAATTACATTGATTCTGGACCCACATCCCACATTAGGAAGCGACTCTCAAGCTCTCTTGACTGCTGTGCTTATTTCTCTGTTTTGCTCTTGTATATACTGTAGTCTTACCCTCCCTGTCGCTGAGGTTCAGGGTCATACTCAGTACTTGTCTGATTTATCCCATTACTTTTGCGGAACTGGAGAGAGCATCTCGTGGGGCCCTGGTATTCCACAGGTGAAGAAGTTGAGCCCAGGAATGTCTTGTTCATTGTCCTTGGTTCGTCTGAGGACCAGAGTCAGGCCTGGAATCCATGCCAACCCCCCCAAAAAAGTTTAGTCGTCACAGATACTAATAATAACGGATACTTAACGCCTGCTTTGTGGCTTTGTGCCAGGCATGCCTGGCATTTATTTCACTAATCCTTACAAAAGCCCTCTATTTTCCCTCTACCTAACAGATGAGGAAATTGAGCCACAGAAACACTAGTGGCCTGTTTTCGCATGGCTAGGTATGGACCCAGGAAATCTGATTTGGAGCTTGGTCTCTTAACCCGTATACACTGCAGTCCATTCGTCTTGTAACTAGGAGTAAGGATGAAAGCATATAACGTTTGTGCTGGAGGGATGAGCAAGGGTTAGTATTTTGTTGGGCAGTTTTTAGGTCAGAGATGACATGAGACATTGTTTAGCTTTAAACCCAAGTGAAAAATAAATTAGACTAGTTGGTCATTTTTCCAGTAGCATTTTCTCTTAACACAGTTCAGCCATCTCCAAGAAGTCATTCTTTTGATTGTGTGTCATGTTACTGCTATGTGGGTAGTTCTCTTGGCTGACTTGTTTACTCACTTGTTGAATTGTGCTTTTTAGTGGTTAATATAGTAGAAATTCCCCACAAATCTGTTAAATTCAGTGAACATTCAAAGCAGAATATACTTCGCTCTGGCACAGTGTATATAGTGTATACCAAAAAGGGGCTACTGGCCCTGCTGGGATGAAGTCTTAGAGATTGAATCCCTTGCCTGGCTACTTCATTATGATCTCTGTAGTGTGTGTATGTGTATATATGTGTGTGTGTGTGTATATATATATGGAGAGAGAGAGAGTAAGTTGCCTTTTGTGTTCATCTGGGTTTTCAAGGGAGTCCACTGAATTAGATTTTGTATTACAGCAACAGGGCAATACCTTTGTTTCTGTTTAAAGAACAGCAGGAATGAGTTAATAGCAAGGACAAAGAATCCAGATCCACTTGGGAAATTGTATTTTGAGGCCACAGAGAAAGAGGACAAAGGTCACTTATTTTCCAAGTCCGGATGTTTTACCAACTATAATCCAGTTAGCAGTGACATCCGGTAGGATTATCCATTTCAGGAGATCCTGAATTGAACATGAAACATACACGTAAATATGTTTTTTCAGACTCACATCCAGAGCAAAACGGTATGACTGATTTGATTTTCTCATTTTGTAAAGAGTAGTGGTATTCTTCGTGTTCTTTTCGTGGTAAATTATTGGAGAAATGATGATTGAAATCGATGTGCTTTGAATAGGACTGAAAAAACAGGCACCCCCCCCCCCCCAGTAGTTGAGGCATGATTGCGGATGCTTTTATAATACATATTTGCTGCCAAATTGGGGAAATAATGGAACTTAGGGATTCTAAATGGAAAACATCTGGGAGCTTTAGTTATAAAATAAACCAAAAGCAGAAGCACCAAGCACGATGAAATACAGAGGACCTGAAAGGATGTTTTGTGCTGTTGTCAGTAGTTTTTGTCCAAAGCACTCTTTTGTGAAGTAACACAGTGTTGGGAAAGTTAATACAGAAAATACACTATGTAGGCTTTGGCTTAGAGGAGAAAAACAGATTTGATCTGCTGAATTAGTCTCTCAACATTGTAGTTAGGAACATCGCTAGTTTTCAGTTTGCTTTCTCCCAAGTTTTCTGTGCCCGACAGAAGTAGTACTTAGAGAACACGTTTCTGCACTTACTAGGCTTTTCATGTCTAATTATTTTTGTTTTCTTTCAGGAAATATTTATTTCAGCCACCTTTTTTTTTCACCGTTTAGTAATGCAGTAACATTTTATCTCTGATTCTCTGTTTCTTTAGTCTTTTCTAGGATATACTTTCATGAATTACCGCCATTACAAATGGGGAATAATTTTGCTCTGTCTCTCTTGATCATTGTGTGCTAAAGACATGCCAATAAATAAACAGGTTTTTAGTGTTCTTTTTCACACTTGAAACAAAATTTTTAGTAATTTGAGATGATCACTTATGTTGGTGGTATATGTATAAACAAAATTTTTTTTCTGTTTCAGACATGGAGTGTGGACCTCCAAGAATTAATGATAAACTAATGAGATTCTTTGATCATTGTGAGAAGTTTTTAACTGAAGTGGAAAAGAATGCTACAGCTCTTTATCATGTAGAAGCCTTCAAAACTGGACCAGAAATGCAGAACATTTTAAAAAAGGTTGCAGCTACTTTGCAGGTGCCAGTCAGCAATTTAAATGCAGGTAATGTGCCCATTATCTTTCATTCGAACTCTGAAATAATTTTAAATGGTTCTCAAACTCTGAAAATGAAAAAATATGGAAGCATAAAGTAATTCCTTTTAAAGGCCCACGATTGATTTTACATTAAGAAAATAATACACTGTTGTCAAGAAAATGGTATATATCATGCTTACTGTTTTGAGATTCATATACTTCTTTGAGCTTTATGTAAATGAATGTACACGATTTTTGCTATATCCTGGAATTTTTTTTTTTTGAGAACAGAGGTATATAAAGCTTTGACTGTAAGCGTTATTTATATAAATTACATTTTTAAAAATTATTTCTTCAAAATGATAAAAGTGGAAAATTATATAAAATTCTTTAGCTGTTGAAGCTGTTCAGAAGTGTGTATGTGTTCATGTTTTGAGGAGGGATATTAGAAAGTAAAAAAAGCAAAGTAGTGTGGGCATTTTCTTTGAGGCCTTTAAGCCTAGAGATGCTAAAAAGAATGCGCATTTGTGTCTGTCAAAAGGTGTTGCAGTAGATAGGCTGCCTGTTGCAATTTGTCATGCAGCCTTGTACACCCGGGGGTGCGGGGGGGGCACTGTTAATAATTATGCTGTAGAAAGCAATGTCTACAATAGCCAAACTATGGAAAGAACCTAGATGTCCATCAAGAGATGAATGGATAAAGAAGATGTGGTGTATATATACAATGGAATACTATGCAGCCATCTAAAGAAATGAAATCTTGGGGTGCCTTCGGCTCAGGTCATGATCCCAGGGTCCTGGGATCGAGCCCCGCATCAGGCTCTCTGCTCAGCGGGGAGCCTGCTTCCCCCTGTCTCTCTCTGCCTGCCTCTCTGCCTACTTGTAATCTCTGTCAAATAAAATAAATAAAATATAAAAAAAAAAGAAATGAAATCTTGCCATTTGCAAGGACGTGGATGGAACTAGAGAGTATTATGCTGGCGAAATAAGTCAATCAGAGAAAGACAGTTACATGATCTCTCTGATATGAGGAATTTGAGAGGCAGGGTGGGGGGGGTTGTGGGGGGCAGGGAAGGGAAAAATGAAACAAGATGGGATCAGGAGGGAGACAAACCGTAAGAGACTCTTAATCCCACAAAACAAACTGAGGGTTGTTGAGGGGAGGGAGGGTAGGGAGAGGGTGGTTGTGTTATGGACATTGGGAGGGTATGTGCTATGGTGAGTGCTGTGAATTGTGTATGACTGACAATTCACAGACCTGAACCCCTGGGGCAAATGATACATTATATGTTAATAAAAATAAGTAAAAAAAATTATGCTGGGGAAGCAGGTGGAAAGCCAGGGCACATGTTCACCTGCCAATAGGAAACAAAGAAAAAATAATGGGATTTTTCTCTGATTTCTAAGAATTCATAATTCATATAGCAAATGTCGACAAGCATACAAAGATTGGGGATTTCTTATATTGTGAATAAACTTCCAAAAGGCTAGAAGTTGGGAAAATAATAGACTAGAATCACGGAGCCTGAATGCTTTATAAGCTTCAAAAAAAATGAAGATGCCTGTACTAGCATTTAAAATTGAGTTTTTTTCTTTCCCCAAAGTGGCTAAACATTGTGGTCACCTCCAGAGCTTTAAAATTTATTTATTTTAGGGGCACCTGGCTAGCTCAATTGATAGGATATGTGACTCTTGATCTTAGTGCTATGAGTCCACGTTGGGTGTGGAGATTATGTAAAAATAAAAATTTAAAAAATGATTTTAGTGGCAAGTAATTTAAGACTATAGATAATAATAAAGGCTGATACAATGAATGAATGTCAATATACCCACAACTCAGTTTTATCAAATTTCAACATGCTGCAGTTAGTTTCTTTAGGGAATTGAAGTCCATTAGTCCCTCTATGGAAGTTTATTTCTCTTCTTTTCTTCCCAGCGGTAGTCATCATGAATTGAGCATTTAAATCACCCCATGCCAGTTTTTATGTTTCTGTACATAAATGGTATGTTGTTTTGCAGGTTTTAAAACTTACACGAATGGTTTGAACTATGATTTCAGTCTGAAATTTGATTTTAATTCAACTTATTTTCTATTCTTAAAATTACTTTAAAAGATTTTATTTATTTATTTGAGAGAGATTGAGACAGAGAGAGATAGCACATGAGCAGGAGGAAGGGTAGAGGGAGCAGCACAGTTCCTGCGGAGTGGGGAGCTCAGCACGGGCCTCGATCCCAGGACCCTGAGATCATGACCTGAGCCGAGGGCAGACGCTTAACCAGTTGAGCCACCCAGGCGTCCCTCAACTTTTTATTCTTTATTTAATGTGTGTGATTTTAGTCCTACCTTTTAACTTTATGTACGGAATTCGTTTATGTAACTATACCAGTATCTAGCTATGCCTTTGGTTGGTAGGGGGTTAGACTGTTGAAGATATTTTAAAAAATAATTTTTAGTCTCAAATTATTTGTGTTTTACTGATGAGGTGATTGAGAGCAACTTCTTTTTGGAGGCAACATAAGCATAGTGGTTAAAATCATGGGTTCTGGAATTGGACTGTTTGTATTTGAATTTTGACTCTGTTTTACTGTCGACTAACTCTGTGGTCTTTACAAGTTCGTTAATAGCTCTAGGCCGTAGTTTCTTTTTCTGTAAGGTGGGTATAGGAACTGTACCTTTCCTTTATGATTATTCAAGGATTATGTGAAATTAATTAATGTGGAGCATTAGTACAGTGCCTGGCAGAGTAATGGCTCAGAACTCCTGTAGCTATTTAAATCCTTTTATTTTTACATAGAGGGGTGATAACATATGTATTTACTGAAACTCATTTTTACTTAGCAGTGTATCTGTCTTATATAGATCTGTCTCGTTTTTTTGAATTCTATGTGATTTCATAGGATCTATGATTCAGATTCTAGGTGAATGATAGTTAAAAACTTATTTAACCCATCAGATTTTACTGGTGGAGGGGACTGGACTTAATACAGTGCAAATTTTTTTGTAGGAAATCATTTTCCTACTGAGGTTTTTCTTAGTTTTTCACCCTTTCAAGTGATGTTGCAGTAAACTTTTTTATAATCTGGTTTTTGCCCTAGAGAATTTATAAAGTGAATAACTGGAGGTGGAATTGTTGGGTTAAGGACAATGAATATTTTACACCTTGATACATACTTCCAGATTGTTCTCTGAAAGTGTAGAAATTATGTCAACAATATATGAGATCTCCCCCTTATTCAACAGTAGTTGTTGTTAGTCGTTTTGATTTTTGCCAGTTTGATTAATGAAAAATGCTCACTTGTGAAGATGAGCATGTCTTCCTGGGCCTGCTAGCTACTTGCATTCCTTCTGGGGTTTGCCTCTTCCTTATCTTGTCTATTTCTATCAGATTATTTTTGTTTTTCTTATTCTTAGGGACCCTTTATGTGTTACAGATTTATTAATTATATATCCTTTAATTTTGCTTGACAAAGGATAAATCCTTTGCCTATTGTATGTTCCTAACAGGTTCTCTTAATTTATTGCTCACTTTTTAAGTTTATGGTGCCTTTGATTGCACCCTTTTTGTCTGTTACATAGCCACGTCTGTCTTTTCATCGTGGCTGTCCGATGTTGTATTTTGCCTAGGAATACTCTCTTACCCCAAGATTACTATATTTTCCTATGTCTTCCTTTATTTTACTTTAATTTTTAATGTTTAAATCTCTGATCTATCTGAAATACCTTTGAGGTTCCAAAAGACCGGCCAGGAAGTCAGCATGGTCTTTGTAACACCTCATGAAGAGTTCACACCTATTTTGCAGGTGGGATGATTGAGACCAGAGAGGCTGGAACCCCTTGCTCAGGATGATTAGTGGCAGAGTTAGGTCTCATAGCCTGTCGTTTTCTCAAGTGTTTTTTGGTGAAATTTTTCCATCAACTTCCTTCCAGTTAAAGAACAGACCATTAGGATCAACTTTCATAGTTTCAGAACTAGACCTTTGAGTGTGAATAAGTCAGGTTCTTTTCATCGAACATCCATGGTCCTTAGAAGTCACTACATTATATTAGGTATTAGGATTATCAGCCCTTTTGTTTATTCGAGCAAAGTTTGTAAATGCCTTTTGCATGTGTTCTCAATTAAATATTCTTTTTGTACTATATACTGCCTTAGGGGAAGTTCTTTAAACTCAAACCTGGTTCCTTGGGAAGAAGGAGAGACACTGAAGTTAAAAAGCAAAGCGCAGGGCAGCCCTGCAGTGGCTGCCGTTCGCTCTGTAGCATCGAGCAGCGGCCCCATGCCTGTGACCAGACAGCACAGCCACTTGTCATAGCCAGGGACTTGGTGCCCTACCCTTCCCTTCAAAACCCAGGGCTATTTAAAGGATATATAATCAGCTCATTCTCAATGTAAAAATCCAGGTAACTTAACCTGACATCTGCCACCTCACTGAGCAACGAAAACTGAAAGACGGGTACCATTAGCATGCTCTCTCTCTCCAGTGTGTGACTTTCCCCTCTTCGATTCTTTCCTTCTTGACCCTTGGTTTTCCCTCCCTCCTGACCCCCATTTACTCTGCCCTCTCTCCACCTTTTGCAGTCCTCATCCATTTTTGCATCCTCCTCTCTGTACTCCTGCCTCACAGAACGAAGCGTTGTGTCCTTTAAGAGTGCGGTTCAGCAAAGGTAGTTTGTTATTCCTCATTTTCAAGATGGGTTAAACTGTTGGATTTGGTAGGCAAACGTGCTCTTAACAAACACATTACTTTTAAAACCAGAAAAAATGGTAACTTGTAGATACCAGTTAAATGTTTTAGTTTCATTGGACTGAAATTTCTACCTCCTCGTGGTTTCTTCCTGACAGTTCTAGTTCTGCCTAGAATGGTACAGAGTGGGTCTTCATTCTTCGATAATCTGATAATCAGGAAAAGGCCGAATCATCTTTTTCTCTATGCTGAACCTACCCAGGTCCTTGGACTGTGCCGCACGTGGCATTCTGTAGCTATTTAGCCTCTAGAAGATTATGGAGAAGAGTGACTCACAGATTCTACCTTTCTTTTTTTTTCCCCCAGATTTAATTCAGGTAGCTTTTTTTACCTGTTCATTTGACCTGGCAATTAAAGGTGTTAAATCTCCTTGGTGTGATGTTTTTGACATAGATGACGCAAAGGTAAGTATTATTTTTGCGGTTTCTTTGCTATTTATTTATTTATTTATTGCATTATTTTTGTTGTTGTTGTTACTTGAAAAAGCTTTTCAAAAAATAAGTGGAACAGGGAGCATGAGCTGTCTTTGACAGACTTATCATTTTCCTTACATAGGGAATGAATTGTTCAAATGGGGTCTACATACTTACAGTTTGGGTTCAAAAAACTTTGGAAAACATTCTTCTGTGGTGATTTGATTTCCAGATCCACCCAATTAAAACCCTATTTTACCCCTCATGAGGTTTTATTGCTAGAAGGGATTGTAGAGCTATTAAAACCCAAATTCTTTTTAAAGGAAGCCAGAGCTCAGAGAGGATGAATGGTTTTTCAAATACCTAACTTTTGTTTTTTAATAGTTTTTGTGATAAATTGAGCTCCATGTTCTACCCGGTAATGGCAGTAAGCCCTCCACAGTTTCTCTCTGCCTGCTTCGTATGCTCTTTCTTCCCTCTTCACTCATACTGCTTCTTTCAGACTCTAGAAAAGAGAAGGCCAGACAGGCCTCAGCTGACTTTAAGTGAGGCAGATTCTGGTCATTTCTGGGATGTTGGGAGCCAGGAGGTAGGGTAGGAGAGTGTTAATTGTTTTTGTGAGCATTGAGGATGTCGGCATTGGATAGGATTCTGGTGTCTGTGTGGATCATTCAGGCGTGTGGACTTGTGAAACTTCAGTCATCTCTCGCATACATATAAAATGTTCAGTATGCCATGTGAAAATCAATTATTAACTTTAAAACTTAACATCAGGTTTTGAAAAGAAGTGTACTGTTTGCCAGATACTAGCAGGTTTTTAAGCCAAGAGCTAATGAACATTTGAGGATAAACAAGTGATTTATTTTATTACTCAAAGACCAGAGTGACCACAACAGATTTAAGGTGGTTTTACGTGTTACCAGGCTCACATGGGACTGGGGCTTAGCCATGTGATTGGAGGCAGAAGAGAGGACCCTCAGTGAATGACTGCTCTCAGACACTGAGCACCAGTGGTAATGGGTATGATCTGTTTTCCTCTCTGTCTGCTTCTCTCCTCTAACTGTCCAAAACTCATCTCTTAGAAATTTCCTGACCATAAAATTAATAATTATGCCAGTATAGGTATAAACTGAAATTTAGGGTCACCATTCACATGGGTCAAAATACTGCCCTCCCTTTTTTCCTTCCCTACCCAGTTTGCTCGAGGGAAAAAAGTTGATAAACAGAAGTAACAATACTGTATAAATGTTTGGTGGGCATTGGTCAAGGGAAATTCACCTCTTAACAGAAGAGCAATTTCATTTGTCCTGGTTACTGCCCGTGGTGGGATGTTTGGCACGTGCTCACCAGGCCCTGCTCTCTGCGCAGTTCCCGTGGCGAGCAGCAGCATCCCTGGGGTCTCTTCCATGTCCCGGCAGCTTCGGGTGTAAGTGCCAGCCGCTTTTCCATGCCGAGGACGCACACCTCCCACCGCAGCCAGCCACTGCCTGTCCGGTTTGTCCTTGCGACACCTGCCGCTTTCCCTTCCTTTTCCTTGTTTGGATCCTTCTCCTTGGAAGCATTTTGCTCTTGCTTTTTGTGCATCTGTCTCTTCAGGAGGTAGTTTGACGCATTCCAAAACCCTGGAAGTCATGATCTGCTTCCTTTGCCTTGATTCCCACACGTGTTAGAAGATGGAACTATAGGGTTATGCGGGTACACCCCCTGTAGTTCTAAGAGTCTGGACTACTTGACTTTCTCTTTCTTCCCCCTCCCCTTTTTTAGTATTATCCTTTCGTCTCTTTATTATTGCCTGTGAAGAGTTTTTTTTTTCCTGCAACTTATTTTGAAAATTTTCAAACTGACAGAAATCGTAAGAATGATAACAGTAAACACTCACATTTGTGAGTTGTTTACTTTTCTTTGCCACATTTGTTTTTCTTCACAGATAGGAGTTTCCTATTGCTGCCATCATGAATTACCACAGACTTAGTGGCCTAAAACAATACAGATTTATTATCTTACAGTTCTGGAAGTCAGGCATTCAGAATGAATCTTACAGTGCTAAAATCAAGATGCAAGTAGTGTGTTCTTTGTGGAGCACACAAGAGGAAAATCTCCTTGCCTTTTCCAGTCTCTAGAAGCCCCCTGCATTTTTTTATTTTTTATTTATTTTTTTATTTTTTAAATATTTTATTTATTTATTTGATAGAGAGAGATCACAAGTAGGCAGAGAGGCAGGCAGAGAGAGGGGGAAGAAGCAGGCTCCCTGCTGAGCAGAGAGCCCCATGCGGGGCTCAATCCCAGGACCCTGAGATCATGACCCGAGCCGAAGGCAGAGGCTTTAACCCACTGAGCCACCAAGGCGCCCCCATTTTTTTATTTTTTAAAAAAACAAACCTCTGCTTCTATGGTTGTATCTCCTACTCTGTCCTTCCTAACTACTCCTTATAGGGATCTTTGTGATTACATTGGCACATGTATGTAGCCCAGAATAATTTTCTCATTTTAAGATCCTTCATCACATCTGCAAATTCCCTTTTATCATGAAAGAGAATATAGTCATAGGTTCTAGGGATTAGGATGTGGACATCTTTGGGGAGCATTTATTCTGTCTGCCACATATATATGATCTTTTTTCTTTGCAGACTTCAAAGCACTTCTCCTTGAAATACTTGAATATGTATCTAAAAAACAAGAACATTCTGCTACATAGACAAAGTATAATTGTTTTACGTATATATGTAATAGTGCAGTATTATCTAGTACATACAATATTGAAGTTTTCACATTTGTCTTAATAAAGGTCTATATTTAGACTTTTTCCCCCCCTTAAACTCAGGGTCTAATGAAGGATCACTCATTGCATTTACTTGTCATGTCTTTTTAGTTTTCTTTAATCTAGAGAAGTACTGCAGCCTTTTGTCTTTTAGACATTGGCATTTTGCAGGCGTCTGGACTTTTTTTTTTTTTTTTTTTTTTTTTTGGCAGAATGCGTTTGTGTTCCATTTCCAACTTTTGATTAGGTTAACGTAGACTAAGGTTTAAGCGTTTTTGACAAGAATACTGTGTAAGTGATGTGTCTGCACTGAGGAATGCGTATCTTTTTGTCACATTATTGATGACGACATGTTTGATCATTTGGTTAAAGTGATGCTTGGCAGACTTCTCCATTGCAGAGGTGCTTTTTTAACCTTTGTAAATAACTTCTTTATTTAATTAGCCGTGATCTGAACATTTAGAAATACATGTTTATTAAGTTAATTGAATAAGAGCTTCCTTTTTATATATTAAAAAGCAAGTAAGTTTCTTCATTTAAAAATACAAAGTTCTCTTTTGATTTATGTTTCCGGTGATTATTTTCTTTTTTAATGATTTGATAGAAATTAGGGGCGCCTGGGTGGCTCAGTGGGTTAAGCTGCTGCCTTCGGCTCAGGTCATAATCTCAGGGTCCTGGGATCGAGCCCCGCATCGGGCTCTCTGCTCGGCAAGGAGCCTGCTTCCTCCTCTCTCTCTGCCTGCCTCTCTGCCTGCTTGTGATCTCTGTCTGTCAAATAAATAAATTAAAAAAAAAAATTAAAAAAAAATGATTTGATAGAAAATAACTTCTGTCTCTGCTTAGAACTTTTCACTGTGAAATAGGTTTATATACTGAAGTATTTACACATGAAATAACTTTACTTTAGATTTAAATTTACTTTAGAATAATCCAGTGGTGGGGCACCTGGGTGGCTCAGTTGTTAAGCATCTGACTTTGGCTCAGGTCATGATCCCAGCATCCTGGGATCAAGCCCCATATCTAGCTCCCTGCTCAGCAGGGAGCCTACTTCTCCCTCTCCAGCTCCCTTGGGCTTGTGTACCCTCTCTCGCCTCTCTCGCTATCTCTCTCTGTCATAAATAAATAAAATCTTAAAAAAAAAAGAATAATCCAGTAGGTGATGGTGGGAGATAACTAAAACAGGATTAGCCAAATGATGATTGCTACTGAAATTGGATGATGGATACACAGGGGTTCATTATATTACGGTTCACTATTTTTCACATTTGAAATTGTTTATTAAAATATTTTTGAAGGGGTGCCTGGGTGGCTCAGTGGGTTAAAGCCTCTGCCTTTGGCTGAGGTCACGATCCCAGGGTCCTGGGATCGAACCCCGTATCGGGCTCTCTGCTCAGGGGGGATCCTGCTTCCCTTCCTTTCTCTCTCTGCCTGCCTCTCTGCCTACTTGTGATCTATGTCTGTCAAATAAATAAATAAAATCTTTAAAAAAATTTTTTTTAAATTAAAACTGAATAGACATTTATTAAATTCTGAGAATCACAGAGATTATTGGATATCCAGAACCTTGTGAAATGCTGGACCATGGGTGCCTTCATAAAGCAAACCTTGTTTGGGTGCCTGCTCTCTGCTAGGCACATGGTTGGAATGGAAGATTCTAACATAACATAGGCATTGTCCCCTTTAAGGAGTGAAAGACACAAACCATTGGAAGGCAATAGGATGGCTGTAATTAGGTATAGGGATACATAAAGGAGAAAGTTGGTGTAATGGCAGTCAATCTTTATAGAAGAAATGACACATGAACTAGGTATTTTTTTTTCTTTATCTGGTTTTTATTCAACTTTGTTTTTATGCTAAGTTTTTATTCATTTGAGTGGAGAGAGAGCGAGCTGTGGAGGAGGGGCAGAGAGAGAAGCAAACTCCCTGCTGAGCAGGTAGCCCTGGAGGGGGGTGCTTATTCCCAGGACCTTGAGATCATGACCTGAGCCGAAGGCAGGTGCTTCACCCACTGAGCCACCCAGATGCCTCTATTCAACATTTTTAAAGATTTACCTATGATGATGCTATAGTTCACTTATTTTCATTGCTATATGGTATTCCATTATATGAATTAATCACTTTTACCCCCCCCCCCCAAGTCCATTGTCTTGTTGGTAGACGTTTAGGCTGTTTTCAGTTTGGGGCTATTAAGAACATTATCGTGTAGGTCCGCTGGGGTGTACGCAGACATATT